AGGAATTCAAAGCAGGAATCTGGAATGCAAAAATAAATAAATAAATAAATAATGATGTAGGATCCATGGAGAAATGCTGCTTACTGGCTTACTTGCTCATTAGTGGTTTTCTCAGCTAGCTTTCTTAGAGCATCACCGGTCAAGGGGTGACATCATCCACAACGTGCTGGATCGTCTTGCATTAATTATTAATCAAGAAAATGTACAACAGGCTTTTTTGGAGTCTAATATGGTGGGTACATTTTCTCAATTGAGGTTCGCTCTTTCCAAACAACTGTATCTTGTGTCAAGTTGACATAAAACTGGCTATTGGGACCTGGCTGTGGATCTCTGCATCCGGTTCCCTCAGCTCCAGGAGTCTAATTGTCGAGAAAGAGGAGGGTTTGTATGAGCGAGAATTGTTGAGACCAAGGTTGGATAAAGCACAGGGACAAATAGCCAAACGAATGGAAACACATGAACTATGAACCAATAGCTGAGGAGCCCCCAACTGGATCAGGCCCTCTGAATAGGTGAGACAGTTGATTAGCTTGATCTGTTTGGGAGGCATCCAGGCAGTGGGACCGGGACCTGTACTCAGTGCATGAGTTGGCTGTTTGAAACCTGGGACACTTGGCTCAGCCTTGAAGGAGGGGACTGGACCTGCCTGGACTGAATCTACAGGTTGAACTCAATCCTCAGTGGAGTCTTTGCCCTGGAGGAGATGGAAATGGGGGGTGGGTTGGGGGAAGGTGGAGTAGGGGAGAACAAGGGAATCCGTGGCTGATATGTAAAATTAAATTAAATTATAAAATAAAAAAACTGGCTACCATAGTTTTTCACTCAAGGAACCCAGGGCACCAGGAGCATATCTGATAGCTATTAATTAAATGGGTCAAAACTTCCCAATGCCTATTAGCTTATTTAAATGTATGTTTGTATTAAAGACTTACTGCTAACTTAGACCCTACCTAACAGTGATATAATGTCTCATTCCTGCTCTAGAGACATAGAGGGAGGTACATTCCTTAAATCTGCCTCAACGTGACAGTTTGTGTGTGTGTGTGTGTGTGTGTGTGTGTGTGTGTGTGTGTGTGTGTGTAATGGTCATCGCCAGTATACCTCTTCTCCAATGCATATGCCTATTTTCAGTTTGTTTTTAGATATGACATCAAATAAACCGTCTTTTTTTAGGATATCCTGAAAGTTAACAAGGAGAAGGATTGTCTGTGTTTGTGTCCATGTTCTTCATGAGACCTATGTTGTTTATATGTTTATTAGCATTCATTTATGCCTGATATCAATAAGACAGTGCCCTCTTCATTTCTAAACGCATGTTTCTGTGATGATGTCTCTCTATACTTGTCTTGATATATGTTTTATATAAGTTCTTAAGATGTGTTGCTCAAGATTACTCAAGAAAATGCTTTTAGGCAAATGATTTGGAACAAAGTAGTATCAAGTAACTCTAGCATGTGTGCTTTGCTTTGTGAATTCGAAAGAAGTACCAATGAACTTTGTAAGCTTTTGAGAGGTTTATATGTGAGGCCTCTCAAACTTATTGACCACAGAACCTTTTATAAAAATTGAATAATGTAGATAACACTGTCAAAATAACTACTCTCATTTCTCTCCAACAGAATCCATATATGAAAATCCATCTCTAGGACAATGGTTGGCATGTCATATATTCATCTCTACTCAGGTTAGGGGATCTTGAAGATTATTTCTGATTATACAGAGACAACTGATTCCATGAGAATCAGGTATCTAATCTTGAGATTTGCACAGAGTGAGAAATTTATTCTTACTTTCTTCACAATCTTAGTCTAGCATGTGACTTGAGAGCCTGGAAATGTCTCATATTAAAGACTTACCTGTGCAGAATCAGTGACTAAAATACATTTTCCCAGAATAGTTTGCTCTTGGTCACTATTGTGCTTGGTGGTAATTGCCCTATTAGGAATACATGAATCCCTACGTCCCAGTTTGGACTGACATCATTTCTGCTGCAGAGACACACTTCAGTATCCCCTGGCTCTGGACAAAACACTTACATCTGATATTTGGCCTTGGATTCAAAGATTCATTTTCAGAATCTTGTGTTTCTGGAAAGCAATATCTTTTCAGTCTATGAAAGTAATTGGAAGAATGAGGGGACAAAATTTTCAGAGGTGAGGAAATATTAACCAATATTTTTCTTTTTCTCTTCTCTCCATAGTACAAACTCTAGCTAAGAAAATAATATTATTTTCATCAACTGCCAAATCAGTTTTCTTTAAATGACTCAACTAATAATTCACATGTCTATTGGCATGCTAAGCAGTTTAAAAATTTCTGAATAATATAGTAAATTAAATTTCACTATAAGATTGGATTTGAAATAATTTATATTTTATAGTTACCTTAAATTTGAAGAACATACATTCAGCAATAAGAAAAAGCAAAGCTAGAGAAACAATGAAAGATCACTTCTATATGATCTTTATGACTTAGATTTATTAAAAATATGAAGTCCTTTGTAATGTGGCAATAGTGTTGAATATACATGTGCTGCTGAGGAGAAGATCTACGCCTCTCTGCTTTTGTGTGTATGCATGTAACTACTATGTTCCCTTGACTCTAAATCACTGTATTTTCTGAAAAAATATAGAGAATTGAAAGCATTGCTTCCTTATTAAATATTTATATTTAAAATGTGAGTAAATTAAAATTCTCATGTCTTCTTTTTCCTCAACAAGGCTGAGTTGCACAAATACATTTGGACATGATGACTATATTAGAGGAAAATCTTGAAAACACAATATATAGTAGCTACCTTAACAAAAACACTAACATTTCCAGGAAATCTTATTTTACAGCAACATAAAGTTAAAATAGGGTTTCACACAATTCCTAAGAACACTCAAGTACCTTGAATAAGCAATGTAACATGCACTAAGTTAGACAAAATACATATCATTTTCAACAAATATGGATGGCAATAGATATATACATGCATACACATATGTTAACTTTGATTAAATAAGTTAAGAAACATTATACTATTTTATCATACCATTTATTTAATGGAAGCTTTAAACAATGTTGCTAGTCAAGAGATGAAAAGAGGGAAAGTAGCAATTTAATAGGCTAGTAAAGGTAGCAACTTACCAAAATTACAATTGTGTCTATCCTGTTGTTTATAAATAACTGTTCATTTTAGATATTAAGAAAGACATTTAAAGGAAACATTTCTACTCACTTAGCATTTCCCTCTCCTTTTAGGACATGTGGTCTGCTCTGTGAAATGGGCACATGTGTAAATTTACATGGTTACAAGCAAAGCAATTCAGGGTTTCAGGAGGGATGCCCAGGAAATAGACACTGACAGGTGGGTAGAAGTTGGTAAGCATAACTAAAATTATCTGAGTAAGAAAGACAGGATTAATAAAGAAATTTAAACTTGATTTGGTGAGAAGTAACATATTGTTATAATATATTGGGATATCATTCTGAAAAAAAGAAAGGATGAAATTGTGCAGAACTTAAATAAAATGGTAGCATGAGAAGTTGGCATTTTTAGAAATGAAGTTTACCTTGATAAATGTCCTATTTTTATATTATTTTTATAGTTATATGCGGTCACGTTAAGAAGGGTTACAGCCAAAAGACAAGTGGTCATCTATCTGGCTTTCTATCTAGGATATTCATAAAATGTCTTTGATAAAAACTAAATGAAATGGGAAATTTAGGGGTTTTTTTCAATATACAATACACACTTGTGTGAAAATGGCATCATGTAGCACAGTACTGTGTACAATGAATATACACAATATTTTAAAAATCTAAATAAAGTAATAAATCAATTGGACTTATATCCTCTATTGTTTGTGCAGTATGAAGTTACAATAACAAGGAAAATAGTTTACAAAACACAAGTTCAAAGGGGTCTATTGAAAGTGAAAATTGAGTCTTAGTTACTATAACATAAAAATAAAACACACAAGTCTAAAATTATTTTACAAGGCTCTAAAATTAACAAGAGTATTCTATAATAGACTGATAAAATACTCCAGACTACCTGCTTTTATATTATAAGAAAAATACTGACAGAAAACTAACCCATGTGTGTCTAAAAAACAATTAAAACACCAAGGTTGTATTGTTTGTTCTCAGCATGGTGTTTACAAATATACATTTCAGGCAGAGAAGTGCATTATCATTTTCTTTTACTTTTTTCCGCCAAAGGCATTTTTGTTACTTTTCCTACTGACAGAATGAGATCCCTACCAAGAACCTGTTTGACATCTCTCTCTCTCTGTGTTTTGTGGATAATCTTATAAGTGCTGTTGAGGAAGAAAAGGGTGAATTTCTTGAAAGAACAAGGGAGACAACTTGGAAAAACTGAGCACTCACCGATGATTAAGTATTTTACACATGGTCTGTTTTTTAGCTCTGAACCTTTTAAAAATATTTTTCCTTTTCCTTTTGGGATTGTATATAATTATGTCATTTCTCCCTTCCCTTTCCTTTCTCCAAAGGAAAAGAGCACTCCTTGCTCTCTTTAAAATTTATGGCCTTTTTCAATAATTGTTACATGCATTTAGGAATATCTGTGTCTATATACCTATATGTACATATATCCTGATCAGACTGTATAATGTTACGTGTGTGTTTTCAGGACTGACCATTTGGGACTGGTTAACCAATTGGTGTGCTCTTCCCCGGGTAAGACAATTTCTCCCACTCTCATTCCTTAGTTGTTTGTAGTTCCTGGTGTAGCTCTGTGTCTTTAACAGTTCTCAGTGAACTCTGTATTCTGTGATCTCTCTCTCTCTCTCTCTCCCTCTCCCTCTCCCTCTCCATCTCCATCTCCATCTCCATCTCCATCTCCTTCCTGCCTGTCTGTTATACAGAACATATCCCATCTTCCACCTTTAGGGTCCATATCTCTCATGCAGATTTCTGATCCCTTTCCATTTCCTTTTTATCTAACATGCATTTCTGCACTTGTCACCCTCCTTTTTGTGAGTAGAGTGATGACAATCAACAACAGCTCAGGTGGCCATTTCATCCTGGTGGGCTTCTCTGATCAGCCACAACTTGAAAAGATCCTCTTTGTGGTGGTGCTAATCTCCTACCTCCTGACACTGGTAGGCAACACAGTGATCATCCTTGTCTCCCGTTTGGATTCTGCGCTCCAAACACCCATGTACTACTTCCTGACAAACCTCTCTTTTGTTGATATCTGCTTCTCCACCAGCATTGTTCCTCAGCTGCTGTGGAACCTCCATGGTCCAGCCAAGACAATTACTGCCACAGGCTGTGCTATTCAGCTTTATGTGTCTCTGGCTCTGGGGTCCACTGAGTGTGTCCTCCTTGCAGTTATGGCCTTTGATCGCTATGCTGCTGTTTGCCGGCCACTCCATTATGCCACAGTCATGCACCCGCGGCTCTGCCAGTTTCTTGCAGGAATCGCATGGCTGAGTGGAGTGGGCAACACACTGATTCAGGGCACCATCACCCTCCGCCTGCCTCGCTGTGGGAACCACAGGATTTATCACTTCATCTGTGAAGTTCCTGCCATGATCAAGTTAGCCTGCATAGACATTCACGCCAACGAAGTGCAGCTTTTCATGGCTTCCTTGGTGCTGCTCCTCCTTCCCCTGGCACTCATCTTGGTATCATATGGGTACATTGCCCAAGCACTGATGAGGTTAAGGTCAGCTCTAACCTGGGGTAAAGCTCTTGGAACCTGTGGATCCCACCTGCTGGTAGTAGTGCTATTTTACGGCACAAGCACCGCTGTCTACATCCAGCCTAATAGCTCCTATGCACATAGTCAAGGGAAGTTCATCACCCTTTTGTACACTGTGGTTATTCCTACTCTAAACCCCCTCATTTACACTTTAAGAAACAAAGATGTGAAGGGGGCTTTGAAAAGGCTGGTGAGAAAAGATAACACCAGAGAGAAAATTCTTGGGAAGTAGAGATATAAATCTGTTCCCACTAAGATGAAGGTGCTGATCCAGATGCATTACCCAGGGTCACCCTGACACAGATGATCCAAAACCAAACTCACAGGCCTCTCTGGAGAGGTACCAGCAATAAAACCACTTCCCTAGCTATCGAACTCAGAGATGTCCCATCAAAACAGGTATCTGTTTTATTACTGATAATCAGATAATCTAATAAACTGAAAAAAAAAATCTGCTTTTGTCAAGATTCTCCAATCGATTTTTTCTTATGGTCATTCTTTCATTAAGAATTCTGGCTCTATCTTATTAGAGTAAATATGTCTATTGGTTGATCTCTTTTCTATAAAGTGTGTTTACAGCTAGCTAGACATCTTTGAGGAATTCTTTAGTTGTGTGTTCATGTGAGCCCAATGATATATGGTTCCTTGTATCCTTGGAATAAGGTCTCCTGGTAGTGCCCTAGTCTAAGCCAGACACCTGGGTTTTTGCTCCCCCCCCCCTCACTGCTCTGCTCTGCTCTGGTGTCTCCTAGTGGAGTTTTGTTGTATTTTACACACTATGTTTTTGCTAAGTGAGATTTTCACTAAAATTTCAATTTTACATATCAAATTATGTCCACTGGGTGGTGATTCCTGAGGCTTATTTTCTGTATTTGCAATCTTGGATGTTTTTTTTTCTTTATTAAGAAATATTCTTCTCACTCTACATACCACCCACAGATCTCTCCTCCTCACTCCTCTCACCCTCTTGCCCTCCCTCTCAAGCCACCCCACATCCATCCCCACATCCCCCAAATCAGGGTTTCCCAAGGGGAGTCAGCAGAGCCTGGCACACTGAGCCTAAGCAGGTCCAAGCCCCTCCCCACTGCACCAAGGTACCTGGTTCCTAAAAGCCTGCCCATGCACTAGAGACAGATCCCGATCCCCCTGCCTGGGTGCTCTTGGATGGTTTTTTAATCTTGTGATCTTAGAAATCCAGTCCCTTCCAGGCAAAACCAGACATAAAAGTTGAGGAACTATAAAATGATTATGAATTCATAGGTTCTCAAATTCAGCCTTCTGTAGTTAGTTTGTAAAATTCATTAAATGTTTAAAGAATGTGTAATATATGTTCCTTTGGATTTCTATAGCTAGGCAAAGCAGAGGCAAAAAATCTTATAAAAGTATAAATTGGACAAATTAAGGAGAAAATGTGTTTCTTAAAGCCATATAAATCTAAACTTGAAAGTCACCCCAATTATCTTTAATTTTGTCTGATTAACACTTAAATATTGAACTAAATAATCCATCAATAACACTAAAAATACACTTGATTTTTGAAATTGATTGAAGAAATTTTTCTAGAACTCTTCTATACAAAGTTAGATCGCTAACTTGCTGGTATTTTCACTCACATTTACAATAGAGTTTTCCCACTATTCAGTGCTTCTGACTCCAAGATGCCTGATGTTGCTACACAGACAACATTATTAACTAAAATCAAAGGGAAGATATTGTACCAAGATCTCAATAGATAAACACTTTTCAAACAAAATTACAGCAATTTCATTTCTGATTTAAAATTACTACAAAAATATAAGATTGAATCAGTATAAAGTATTCAGTATTCAGTCATGAATACTTGACATTTACAGAGGCTTAACTTGTGATTGTTTCTCTAGTTTTTGATAAACCCATTTAAAATATTTATCATACTTTATTATTGCATATATATGTCTATGTGCACATGCATACAGATGCCTGAGGAAGCCAAAGAGTTATTGAATTCCTTAGAGATGTAGTTGTCCAGTTAGGCACTGAGAATAATGTGAATAAAACTCAGGTCCTCTGCAGGAACTGTGTGCACTCTGAACAGCTGAGGCACTTTCTGCAGCCCTTGATGGTCTTTGGTGTTACCAGCTTTCTTCTTAGACCTATTTTGAAGCAGCCCCAAAGGTTTGGTAAGGGGGGCCTCCCCCCTTGGTGGTGGTTTGGAGAAAAAAAAACTTTAATAAAATTGGTTTAAAACACCTTGCAAAACGAAGAAAGCAAAACGAATAATCCCAATCCCTTTGGTAAAATTTTCAATGGAAATTTTCCAATGGCCAAACGGGGGGTGGAAGAAAAAGCCGGTTAAATTCCAAGGTTGGGAAAAATAAAAAAAATTTCCTAACAATGAATCCCAAGGGTGCCACAAAAGGAACAAAAAAAAAAACTAAAAAATTTGAAAATGGTTTTTATTAGTTAAGACATAGTTTCTAAATTGTCCTAAATTTTATTTATCCTGGAGACTGTGTGTGCTGGTTAGTCAATTCCAAGCAAACTAGAGACTGTAGCTGAAAGTTTTCCTGTGTCCTGGCCAGTGGTCAGGACAAATCTCTCCCACTCACAACCATTGGCCAGCCTGGACACATGAAAATTTTCAGCCCCACATTGGGTGCCAAATCTCTCCCATTCTCGTCCCCCAAGTAAACACACAGAGACTTATATTAATTATAATTGATTGGCCATTAGCTCAGACTTATTACTGACTAGCTCTTACACTTAAGTTAACCCATATTTCTTATCTATGTTTAGCCATGTACCTTTTCTCAGTTCTGCTTTCACATCTTGCTTCCTCTGTGTCTGGCTTGTGACTCCTGACTCAGCCTTCCTGTTCCCAGAATTCTCCTCTTTCACTTAGCCTGCCTATACTTCCTCCCTATACTTCCTGTCTGGCTACTGGCCAATCAGTGTTTTTTTTTTTTTTTATCAACCTGAGCAACACATATTCACAGCATACAAAATGATATTCCATAGCAAGAGACACCTGGGAAGAGGGAACCTCAGTAGAGTAATTGCCTCCATCATATTGGCCGATAGGCACATTTGTGGAGAATTTTCTTGAATTTAATTTTTGGAGGAGGGCCAAGAGCACATAGATGGTACCATTCCTAGTCAGATGAGCACTGGTGTTTTATAAGACAGATAGCTGAACATGAGTCTAGAAGGAGGCAAAGAAGCAACATGCTTCTGTGGTTTCTGTTTCAGTTCCTGTCTCTATGTTCCTACTCTGAGCTCCTGCTATGGCTTCCTTTGATGATTGACTGTTGGAAGTGTAAGATGAAATAAAAGCCTTTACCTAAAAGCTGTTTTTCTTCAGTGTTCTGTCAGAGCAACAGAAAGCAAACCAGAGCAGCATTTATAGACAGTTGAGGTTCCTGTGTGTTCTCAAGCTGAAGGAGGGAATGTTTGCTAGACACTAAGATCATTGTATTCAACATGATTTAAGTCCACTATTTCCTTTTTCTTTTCTTTTGTATAATCTGTCCAGGTGGATTAAAGGCCCCCACTACTTTATCTCTGTGTTGCAGTCTATCTTTCCATTTGAATCTATTCATACTTATATATTGAAATGCTCTCAGGCTACGTACGTCATGTTTACAATTTTCTTATTAAATTCACTGTTGAACAGTAAGTAATGACTCTCTCTTTTTTACAGTTTCAAAAACTTAAAGTCTGGTTTATCTGATTTAAGTATAACTATTGCAGCTATGTTCTGGTTTCCCCTCTTAAGGAATATTTTCTTCTAACCTTTCATTTTTAATGTTTAAATGTCCTCACAAATCAAGCGAGGCCTTGCTGTTTACAGATGGATCCTGTTATCCCTTTTAGTTATCTACCTAATCTATATATTATATCAAATAATTTTATCTGTTTGCATTCTAGGTAATTACTGACACTCTTTTCTCCCCTGCTTGTTCATATTTTTCTCCAAATAATCCCCTTTCTGCTTCCATTATATGAGAGAAAATATTTAATTTATCTCTCTTTTTTCTGTTATCATCTGTAGCTCCCTTTTCACCTTTGTAGACTCCCTCTTTCTTCCTCATAGTTTACACTAGAGAACCTCATAATCTAGAAGAACTTCCCTTCATTTTCTATTTTTGATTTCAATTTGAATTTATTATTAATACTGCTGGCATAATTTATGCATTTTGATACATATAGCTGGGAGAACAATTACATACTGATAAGATGTTATGTGTTAGTAGATCCTTTGCAATGTAGCTTCTAACTTTGATTGATTAGTTTAGGACATTCAAGCATGTAAAGGAAATCTATCTGTAAATTTGCTACCACCTTGTTAGTTTGGGCATTCTGAGTGGTGTAGGGGCAAAATCAAACTTGGGTCTCATTTTCAGCTTTGTTATGACAATTGTGCCTATGATGTGACTCAAGTCAGTGCCTGTTTGATATGTAAGAGAATTTGGAATCAGAGAACATGTCTTTTTCTTTTTCTTTTTTTTTTTTTTTGAGAGGAAGCCTCGTGGGATAATCTTTTTTTTTTTTTAACTTTTTTTTTCCATCACAGGCAATTTATTTTGTTCTATTCATTCACAGTTAATACAGAAAATACTTGGAAACATTTCCATATAATGTTTGACACAGAAATCATCAAATAGAAGTATACAATGTTGACAGGAGGCAGTACATTTATAATTTATAACCCCAAATGTATTTATAAATTAGAAATGGAAAGATCTACAAATGAAATTATGAAGTTTCACCAAAGTCATTTATTCTGTCAGTTTCTCATTCATTTTTATGTCTTTTTCTTGATTTGTAAGTATTGATCATGTAGTTTTGTTATAATGTATTATATATACCTTTCCCAAATTGTGTTTTGTCTTATTTCCTATCTAGTTATTAAGAAGTATTTATGATGCCAATTTATGAATTAGTTCCCTTTTCTATGCATGATTCATGTAGTATTTGTAAATATCTTTGGTAATCTCCAAATCATAGAGATTATTTAATAGTATTTTCTAGACTTAATTTTGGTTTTATTTACATTTATATACAGTTATGTAAAAATTAGAGCTAAGTTTCAATACTAATTTCATGTAGGAACCCAATGATAGGACATTGACAATTTTATCTTATTATTAATGGTCATTTTTCTCACTAAACTGTCATATTTTAGAAATGTAGTGTTGAGATTTATGTATGTCTTATGAATGAATTATGTGTCCTATTTCATTATGTTAATTCCTGTACCCTTAGTACAATGTTCATGTTGTATCGTTGTCTCTTGATAATAAGTTTTATAT